TTGCGTCATCTGTTGGGTGTTTCAGTCTGGAATCATCCCCACCTCCAGAAAATCAGGGGAAATGTCCTTTTGGGAGGAATTTGGCTTTGTTGAAAGCACCACCTTGATGATGCTGCTCAGGTTTGCAGCGGGAAGAGCCCACGGCAGCCCCGGGGTTCCTCCTGCCTGAGCTCAGCTCCCCAAAGCTCAGCTCCCCAAAGCTCAGCCTGCTCTGAAGGCAGCCCCGACCCAAAAGCTGCTCCTGTTGGCTTTGGACTGGAGCCACCAGAACTGTTTCACACCCCTGTGTTTAAAACACCTTCCCCTTTCCCAGCTCCTGGCCTGGCTGTGGAAAAAATCAATTTAATGCTCAAACCTGTCCTGTGTGTTTTCTCTGCTGGGGTGAATTTCACTGATTTAAGCAGTTTATGCTCAACTCCTCCATTTTTTGTTGCTGTTTCGGGGGAAATGTGRCTTCTCTAACCTCAGCACTGCTGGCAGAGTGTGATATCCCTTTATTTGCACACTTTATCTCTTCCTACCTGTGGCTTTGGGTGAGCTGTTAATAACAAAGGCTCGCTATCACCAAACAAACCTTCTAAAGTGGTGCCTCACAGAAGCTGTCAGTCGGCTGGCCAGCGAAACTTTCAGATCAAATTCTTCAGTGAAGAAGCCGAAAATAAAAACTTTTTTCTTTTCTCTGTAGCTGTGGGTGATTTCTGGAGCTGTTCATGGCTTTGTGAGGGTGAGATGATCCCAGGGTTGGTGTTTGTCAAGATTTCACCCAGAAGAGATTGAGGAAATGCCAACCTTGCATCAGGGCTCTGCTGGAGATATTTCCTTTAACTCCTCTTTTATTTTTGGGGAGGATAAAGGAGGGAAATAACGCTTTTCTCACAGCCAGAAAATGCTGCAATCAACCTTTGAATGGCTCCTSCGTTGTGTTTTGTCCCATTCTTGCGTCAACAAGGTGTTGTGTCAACAGCCAGCGAGCTTTTACTTGTCCMGTGTCCCCTGGGGCTGTTGACAGCGGGGTGGGAGCAGCACCTCAAACGTGTTTGCAGYCTGTAAGGGGGATTGCAAAACCCCTGGAGGAGCAAGGGATGGAGGGCCGAGCTGTTTATGGGGTGGAAGCTGATCGAGATGGGAGATCTCGGTGTGTAGGAACATTTTTCTGGGAATTTCCTCCACTCTGGAGTGGTTTTTTTGGTTTTGTTTTTTTTTTTTTTTTTTTTTTTTTTTTTTTTTTTTTTTTTTGGTTTTTTTTTTTTGGCTGGATCAGGCGTTCTCCAAGGATAAGGATGGGGTTAACGGGGTGTGAGGAGCTGCAGATCCACCTCAGAGCAGGGGGATGCACAGCTTGATCGGGGAAAAGCTGGGTGCTGGATTTTCATCTGGAATTTTTATCTGCTGGAAAGGGTGAGTGAGACCTTTCAAAATCTCATCCTCACCTCTGTGAGAGCAGGATCAGCAGCCTGGATCGGCAGCAGAAGAGAAAACCGACTTTTAGCACGTGAAAAACGACCAGGCTTCAGTGTTTGCATCAAATTATTTATTGGTATCAAAAAGAGCTGGCTTCATGACAATGGTTTGATAAGGCAGCTTCGGATTTACTTAAAAAAAACGAGAAAAAAAAAATAAAAACCAGGAAAAAAACCCCAACAACAACAACAAAACACCCCCGAGCGCAGGAGGGTTAATGTAGTGACAGCATCGTGTAAAAAAACCGTGTGAGTAGTGAAGGATAATCTGGGCTGTGTTAGGCAGCACGACTTTGCATAGTTCATGGGCAATTTAATCAGATTTGGGGCGGGGGATGTGCAAACCGCCGGCCCCATTAGCTGTAGCAGATGTCSCAGCTCCTGTCCCTCCTGAAGAAATCCTCGGGCACGGGCAGGGCTGGCAGCAGCTCCGGGCAGTCCGTGCTGGGGCAGGGRAAGCAGTGGCTGTCCCCACGCTGGGCACCGCAGGCTGGGCAGCAGCAGGAGGGGCTGGGCAGGGGGCACTGGCCATGCCAGGGCCACTGCTCGCCCGGCCAGGGGGGGCTGGGGGTCAGCGGGGTGACAGGGGACAGCTCCGGGGGAGAGTGGCTCCATGGGCTGGGCAGGTCGGCTGAGCCGGGAGAGCTGGCGGCCTGGAAATTGGGATAGAGAGGGAAAAAAACGGGGGATTTCAGGGAAATGTGGCCAGCAGGCAGAATTCACCCACTGTGGTCTCTGTCAGCGGGTCTGGCTGCCCTGGGAGTGTTCAGCCCGTGGAGGTCTAAACCCAAATTTCTGTCTGTAGGGACAWTCCCCAGCAGGAACGTCTGTAGGGACATTCCCCAGCAATTTCTGTYTGTAGGGACATTCCCCAGCAATTTCTGTCTGTAGGGACAATCYCCAGCAGGAATGGGRCTGCYSTTYGCAGAAAACCTACAGAACCTCTAAAGGGGCCATTCCCTCCCCTGCAGCCTCTCCCGGAGAGTTTGGGGCTCCCCATGGGAGAGGATCAGAGCCCCACAAGCATCCCAAGGTCCTGAAAGCGGCCAAATCCCCACATCRCTGCTGCTCCACCCCAGGGTGCGACTCCTTCCCCCACTTTTTCCCCACTGGGGACATCCCTGGTCCCAAATCTCACCAGTCCCTGGTTAAAGCAGAGCTGGACGGGCTGGAAGGRGTCTGGGGTGTAATGAGGGGATGGCTGGAAGGTGCTCAGGGCTGGCTCCGGGGGCACATCGGGCTGCAGGCAGGAATCAATGAGCTGCTCCAGGTAACCAGGGCTTTCCTCGCAGGAGAGGCAGCCGGGAAACTGCCAGGACGGGCAGCAGCCGGGCACRGGAGGGATGGGCTCGGCCTCAAAAGGCTCTAGGAGAGAAGGGAAAGCTGCCAGGGACAGATAATCAGTGTCTGTCTTCACAAAGGGAGGTTTCAGCTCTTTCCTATGCTCGTTAACCCTGTGAATTTGGAGATTAAAATAGGTCCTGCAAGGGTAAGGGGAAGTTTTCAGGAAAGCAGAAGATGCTCACAAACATGTGAATAACTCAGGAATTCAGCCCCCTTGGCTATAAAGCTTTTAAATGCTGGAAACTCCTCCAGCCCCAGGAATTCTGACCCTCTGCCCTCCCTTCTGTGCCCAGTTCCAGCCCAAGAATGTGCCAGGCAGTGATTTGATGTGCCTTTGCCCCATCTCCAGASACAGAACAACCACACCTGCAGGAAGAAGGGGAAAACAGGAGCAGAATTTGCACTTTTATCTCCCAAACCAGACAAAACCCCGAGCAGGCCATGGGGCAGCGTGGCACTGAGACCAGGCAGCGTTACCAGCCAAAGGGCGAGTTCCTGGAAAGCTCAAAGCACACAGGGCACCTCACAATTATTATCTTCTCATAAAAACCAACTTTCCACAATTATTATCTTCTCATACAAACCAACTTTCCACAATTATTATCTCCTCACACCGAGTTCAAACACCCCTAAAGGCAAAGCCGTGTCCACCCGAAGGCATTGCAGGGTCAGGGTGGCAGCTCTGCTGGGTGTGGGAAGYGAGGAACACCCAAAATACATAAACTGGTGGAGACTTTCCAGCCTGGAAAGGCTTTGGCGTGTCAGCCCCGGCGTGGCTCACGTTTCTTTATTAACATAAGCAAATGGATTCCCAGCTATTGATGATTTCATGATTTCCTCGTCCATGCAATGTGCACCCTGACACCTGCCCAGCATTTTCCCTGTGCTCTGRCTGGGGAAAATTGAAGATCTGTGAGCCCACAGTGCCATCCCTTCACTCCTTCCCCCTTTCCCTGGGTGTTTTCATGCGGGAGGAGGAAACTCTCGGTGTTTTTGAAAATCTGGTGATTCCCTCACTCCTCTGGATGCTGCCGGGAGAGTGGGGAAAGAACAGAACTCAGCTCTCAGCCTGGAGAAGGCGCTGCCAGCAGGGATATTCCCCAGGGATGAACATCCCATCCTGAAGCGAATCCCATTCCTAAAGAGGAACCCCTGGAAWGGAGCGCTCCGTGCGCTCCCAGCGCCTCCTCCGCATCCCCCGCGCTCCTTTCAGGTGCTGATTGGCTGCTCCGAGGGTGGTGCCGGCCTCAAACCGGCCGGGAAAATTTGGGATTGGGGCGGGAAGGACCGCGTGGATGGGCTTTGTACCAACCTGGGTGAGGCGGAGACACGGGCTCGGGGAGCTGGATGCTGCTGCTGCTGCTGCTGCTGCCGCCCCAAGGAACCTGACAGAGAGAAGGGAAAGGAAGGAGCTGCGGCTCAGGGTGAGGTGAGTCTGCATTTCAGCGCAAACTCCGTGCAAAAACCTTCTTTCTCTCATGGCTGAGACCTGGAAATCCTCCCCGGTGCTGACAGAACGTTCAATTTCTGTGCATAATGCGATTTTTTCTCTGTGACAGGACTGAAAAGAGCAGCACCAGCCGGGTGGAGAGCCCCAGAATCAGCTCAGGGACTCTTTTTCCTTCTCTCCTGATCCCCCGGATCTGCCTTTGAAACCAACGCTGATTTCCAGGAGCGTGAATTCCACGGTGGAGGGAATCCCCAGGAATTCGCGGGGATGGATATTAACGACAATGAATAATTAACTAAAGACCTCTGCAGGTGTCCYATCACTCTGGATCGCTGTGGTTTGAGACCCAGCTCGCTTTTTTAAGGGATATTGGAAGCTGAAGCAAGACAGATCAGCCACTTCTAGAAAGAAGAGAGGGAGAAACCCACCCCAAAAGCAGCAGGAGTTTTGATTTTTTTTCTTTAGGGCCAGGATTTTACTCTGCAGATACAAATACAAATACTGTCGGGGTTTTTTTTTGGTTTTTTTCCCCCTCAGTTTTCATTCATCCAGACCTCCACTTCATTTCCTTTGTTCAGGATGCTCTCGAGTGAGCAGCTCATTTCCCTAGCAACAGCTTCCTACCACATCCCGTGCATTTAATCCATTAATATTCATTAATTCATTAAGCAGCGGCTCCTCTGGGCTGGGAGGGCCTTTTTTCCCTGGTGCAGATGCGAAACAGAGAGAGATGAACTCCCCAGGCTGAGCTTTTCTCAGGGCTCATCGTGGCAGCCCAAAGCCTCGGGGGTTTTGGGACGGGCGGGTCACCGAGGTGACTTCCCCCACTGTCACTTTTCATTTTTTCCTGCGTGGGCACCTCGGGGGTTGTGTGAGATGGGGGTGGGAAGTGAAAAAAAACAGCACCACGCAGCCCTGGGACAGCTGGCTGCGATGAAAAGGATGGCAGGAGCCGTCCAGAGCTTCCCAAACCCCAAAATTCTGGGGTTTGGTTCACCCAGCCCTCCCTGCCCGCGGCTCTCGGRCTGATTTTTGTGTGCAATCAGCTGCAAGGAGGCGCAGACGCTGAAATCTGAAAGCCTTCCAGAGCTGGAATGTCATGAACCAGGAAGAAATAACGATTTGCCGAGCTGTTTATGCAAATCCCCGAGTGGCTGAGACTGGAGGACTCCTACAAAGGCTGCAGGAGGGAATGAGGGTGCACAAGTGTGTGCCCACAGAGCTCCAGATGGGATGGAAATGCCCAGGTGAGCTTTTCATCCCGGAATGAGCAACATTTCTGGGGCAGCAGCTCTGTTTTCTCCCCGGATCTCTCCGTTCTCACTCCTTCAGGTCACTGCTGTAACTACTCTGAAATTCTTTCCCCCATCCTCACCATCCTCACACTCAGATTTCAGCCATCACATCGGCCCAGGAATTACAGATTTGGCCCAGTCTTGCCAAAAAGTTAAAAAAAAAAAATTAAAAGAGAAGATCCAAAGCAAACAGCTGAATGTTTTTACTCACTGCTGGACCCGTGGCCGCTTGCCGTGCTCTTCTCTGCTGCAGCAGCTCCTTGACTGTGATCTTTACCCTCACACCTTGGTACACCTTGGGCTTTCCTGGAAGAATCCGTGGAAAAACACTTTACAAGGAGGGAGAATCTCAGAGCAAACAGCAAATCCAGCAGGTTTTCAGGTGTGCTCTACGTGGAGAACAACTGGAGTTAACAGGACTGACTGGTCTCTGTTTGCAATCACACTTCACAGCGCTCCCCAACACCTGCTGCTCCAGCTTGTGACAAGCAGACACTCATGAAAAAGTTGCTAAAAGTTGATAATATTTAATAACCACACKTGTTTTGTTCTTCTCTGTCTCCTTCTCCCCCCTTGCAGCTTTCCCAAGCTCCATCTGGTGCTGCTGCTGGATCCATTTTCATTCCTAACATATTTGCCTCTCTCAGGACCTGKAAATAAATGTGGGAAGCACTTCATCTGGCAGATGAAGAGCAGGAATAAAACAATGGAAATATGTGGGTGGTTATSCAGAGAGCTAAACAAAACACAAATAAACCCACTGCTTTCCTGCAAAGCCCAGATTATCTCTTTATTCCTCTCATGTACAAGCCCTATTGATTTCAAACAAGCTTTTAGGGTGTGTTTAATCCAGCCTAAACCAACCAGCGATCACCAGGCACTACCTGATGAGGGATTTTTAGGACAGGAAATGATRAAGGATTTGCTTATTCTCAAAAGCCACTTTCACTTGTTGTACTCATGGTAAAAAAACTCAATGTTTTGTCCAGATTTTCTGGTGTTTTAATCCCAATCACCCGACGAAAGGAAACACACCCAGGGTGGTTTTTACWCTCCAAAAATGCCGGAGCAGGGAGCAGAGAGCCCTGAAGGAGGCACCAGAAATAAACCCAGGGCAGGGAGCGGCAGTGCCAGAGCCAAACCCAGCGTGTCGGTGCCACCTCCGGGCACGGAACAGCGCCTTCCCCACGGCAGCGATCCCGGCACAGAAACAGCGCTGCTTTTGCAGGGTTTGCCCCCCGAGCCGGGCAATTCTGCMCCCTGGGCACTGTCCCCTTTTCTGTCACCTTCCCCAGTGGTGCCCAGCCCTCCCGGTGCCCTCCTGGTGCTGCGGTGAGGACAGGTTGTGCCCCCGGAGCGGTGCCAGGGCTGCCCCAGGGCCGTTTGCTGAGCTGGGCTCAGCCGGGGATTATCCAGATCAGGTTTTGATGTTTGGTTTCCGCTCGGCAAAGTGAAGGTGGGGGAAATGAAGGGGAGGGAAGGGTGGGACTGAAGGGGAATCCCTTGGTCACCTGCAGCCATGGAGGGCTTTGGGGCAGCAGGGTCAGGGGACAGGGTGGGCACAGGGTGGGCAGGGAGCAGAGTGATGGGCTGGGGGTCAGGGAGAAGGGTCCTGGGGTAGGTCTAGGGGACAGATTATGGGGCTGGGGAACGAGGGAAAGGGCTGGGAGAATGGGGTGGGAGTCGGAGTGAGGAGGAGCAGGGTGACAAGAACAGGGGGCGGATTCGGGGTCGGGAGCGGGGCTGGGGTTCGGGAGCAGCGGGGCCGGGGCGGGCAGAGAGAGGAGCAGGGATGGCACAGAGAGGGGCAGGAAGGGCAGAGAGAGGGGCAGGGAGGGCAGAGAGAGGGGCAGGGAGGGCAGAGAGAGGGGCAGGGAGGGCAGAGAGAGGGGCAGGGAGGGCACACGGAGGTGCGGGGATGGCACAGAGAGGGGCAGGGAGGGCACACGGAGGTGCGGGGATGGCACAGAGAACTGCGGGACCGCACACGGAGGTGCGGGGATGGCACAGAGAAGTGCGGGGATGTCACACAGAGCTGCGGGGAGCGCACACGGAGGTGCGGGGAGGGCACAGAGAGGGGCAGGGAGGGCACACCGAGGTGCGGGAATGTCACACGGAGCTGCGGGGAGCGCACACGGAGCTGCGGGTCCCCTGTCCCACCCCGGCCGGGGGTCGCAGCGCAGCCGGCCGGGCAGAAGCCCCTCTCTGTGCCCGGCGCTGCCCGCAGAGCCCCGTCCCGAGCCGGCCCCGCTGGCACCCGGCTGGCAGCAGCCGAGCCTTCCTTCCCTCCTCCCTCCCTCCTCCCCGCCCTCCCCGCTGCCTCCTGCCTTGGCAGGCGGGATCGCCTCGCTCGCTCCCTCGCTCAGTGACCCCGGCGAACCCCGAAAGTTCCCCGGAGGGGGCTCGGGGGCAGGCGGGGGTGCAGAACGGGGCTTACCGGACATGGTGATCCGGAGCGGGCAGCGCCTCGCCGGGTGCCCGGTGCTGCAGCAGAGGTGGCCCCGGCCCCGGCCCCGCAGGCTGGCAAAGGGGGCAAGAGGAATCAGGCTCCGAATTTGGGGGTGAAGGGACCCGCCTGCCTGGCGGCAATGGCAGGTGGATCCCGACAATATTATTGTTTTATCCCCACGGGTATAAGTTTGAGTTTTTCTCTCCTAATGCCAAGTATTTAAAACCTCTAGAAACCAATGATTTGACAATCAATGATTGCGCGATACTTTCAATTTGAATATTCAAAGGCTCCACAAAATGGGCTATCTTTTTGTGGAAACGAGCACATCCCCATCGAGAAGAGGGTCTGGGGGAATAGGATTTGGTGGGGTCACCCTCCCCACCCTTTGCTTTTGGGACATTTGCGGGGTTTTACCCATCTTGCCCTGAACGAGGCAGATGCCTCCCAAGCAGCCSGGTGTTTTCCCCTCAGATGCACAGGCTGGGCTCCAACCCTCTCATATTTCATTTACTACCTGCTCTGAGGGCTCTCCAAGGAACCGACTYGCTTTTTGCACGTTTTTTCACGTTTTAAAGCTAAATTCTGAGGGTTTGGGGCCCAGACAGCAGCGGGCAGGCGTGGCAGAACAAAGAGGCTGCTCTGGGCACTCGAGAGGCTGAATCTGCCCGAACCCCACCCCTTCCCACAGCATCCCCTCCCTCTGCCGGCTCGCTGGGCTCATCCTGGAGCTGATTTGTGTTTTCCCCCCGTTCAGGCTGATTTTCTGTGCTGCACAAACCGGCCTCTCTTTTCTCCCAGCCCCAGCGCTGCCCTGCCCCGGGAGCTGAGCTGTCAGGGATCAGCGTGTGGCTCAGATTTTTGGGGTGACCATCACTTCACAGYATTAACTGTGGGGTTTGGGCTGTTTTTGAGGTTTTCCCTGGGGAGCAGAGCCCCTGCGGTGGGCAGGGAGTGCAGGCAGAGCGCAGGCCAGCCTGTTAATCATCTACCAGCACCTCGGGCTGGCTGCTGCYGCCGCCGCCGAATCTTTCCTTTTCCTTCCACTTGAACAAACAACACTCGATTCCTGCGGGGAGCGAGGCCCTTCCTGGCTCTGAAATGTGCCCCTGCAGCTCCCGCTGGGCCAAGCCTTGCCTGGGACAGCTTTATMGGGACACATCCCTCGGGGAGAGGAGCCCACCTGCCCCAGAGCACCAAGGAATGGGCTGGGCTGGGAGGGGCGGGGGGCTCCTTGAGGAATTTGGGGTGTGAAACTCATCCATTGCTGGGACTGCTGTGGGTGGGTAGAGCCAGGGGGCTCCAGGGGGCTCCAGGGAGTTTCAGGGGTTTCAGGGAGTTTCAGGGGCTTCAGGGGGCTGCAGGGGGATGCAGAGGGCTGCAGGAAGTTTCAGGGGGTTTCAGGGGGTTTCAGGGGGCTGCAGGGATCATGTTTAGCCCCTAAACACAGAGCAGAGCCTGCAGGCTGCCCAGCCCAGCCCTGGGTGCCCTCAGGGAACACGAGGCACCCGCAGAGTTCCTGCAGAGCCTCCAGAGCGTTTCCAGGCTGATAAAGACCCTGCCCTGGTCAGGAGCTGAGTGCCTGAGTGGGTCCAGCTCAGAAATCTGTCCCTGTTTATCCCTCAGAGCCTGGTGGCAATGCAGGCACGCTGACCTGGTGGCCCTGGTCATTCCCAGCTGAGATGGTCACTGGGATCCAGCCCGGCAGTGGTGCCGGCTGTGGAGAGGAACAAGGATCCAGCAGGACTCAGGTTTGGGGTCAGCAGGGCTGGCTGTGGGGCAAGGAGACCCAAAAGGATCGGGGGAACAGCTCTGGCTGAGCGGGGWTCACCCCAGGATGCTCCACGCCTGCCTCTCGTGGGACTGGGAGACGCTGTGAAGGCTCCAAATCCCCCACCAGTCCCGGGATTGGAGGAGAAAGGACAAGGAGGGATTTAAAGAGTCTGATCCCACACATTCCCAGGGCCTGGAATGCTTTT